TTGGTTTAAGTTTAATGGATGGGAGGACTTGACCAAGAATTTTATAGTGAAACAAGCCCTGCGCGGCTCCCGTAAAGGGAAGAGGACCGTGGACACGAGGCGGCCGGTGTCGTTTGCCATCCTGCAAGGGCTGGTAGGGGGGTTGCGCGATGTGTGCACATCGTCGTTTGAGGTGGTGTTATATTCGTTAGCGTTTATTTGGGCCTTCTTCGGGGCGTTCCGCATTGGTGAACTGGTCAGCAGTAACAAGTCCGGAGTTAACGGGCTCAAGTTTGAGGACGTAGTCGTTGGCCGGGACAAAGTCGAGATTCAACTGAGACGCTCCAAGACGGATGTTTTTGGGAGAGGAAGGAAGGTGGTATTGTTCTCGTTACCTGGGTCGGAGGTCTGCCCGGTGGCGTGCGGGCGCGAGTTCTTACACATTCGCCCAGAGGAGTCAGGGTGCTTTTTTATTCATGAAGACGGTTTTGCACTGTCACGTTTTCAATTTATACGGGTATTTCGCATGGGGCTTAAGCGGTTGGGCCTACATCCCATGCAATTTGGCACTCATTCGTTTCGGATCGGGGCGGCAACGGAGGCGGCACGACTGGGCCTGGGGGACGAACGGATTAAGCAGATCGGTCGGTGGGAATCCATTCGTTTTCGTTCATATGTGAGACCAGATTGGTTGGTATAACGTGGTTGTGGTCAGGTTGGGGGGTTGTCAATACGTCCCCCGCAAATTAATTGATTCTGTTTCTTTACAGGTATGGTTGCCTGGTTGGTGGGTCACTCTTACGTTTTTTGGGCGCAGAAGAGGGCCGCAGTTCGGAGGAATGGAACACAGCTGGGTTTTCTTCTGGAAACGGTGGAGTTACAGTGGTTTGGTTATCGTGGTTTCAGTTGGCAGAACATTAGTGGAGTAATTTTTAGGATGGTCTCAGGGGGGGCTTCCCCTGATATACTACTTATTCACGGTGGGGGTAACGATTTGGGATTGATTCCTCAGAGGGAACTAATTAGGAGAATGAAACGGGACCTGGATCGGCTACGGGAGCTGGTGCCTGGTGTGGTGGTAGTATGGTCCGAGATGGTGCCGAGGTTTAATTGGAGACATGCCAGGGACTCAGCTGCTGTGGCGCGATGCCGGGGAAAAGTGAATAGAGCGATGTCAGTTTTCGTCCGGAGGTCGGGCGGGGTTACAGTACGACACTGGGAGTTAGAGGGCATGTTGCCTGGGTACTTTCGCAAGGATGGGGTACACCTTTCCGAAGTGGGGTGCGATTTACTAAATTTAGGTTTTCAGGAGGGCATAGCTCAGGCCCTATTTTTGTATGGTGGGGGGCGCTCGAGACGTTAAGGTATCAAGTCTCGGGCTATGGCGGGATAGGGCTAGGGTAATTGGGATGGAAGAGGAGTAGTAAGTGGCTAGGCTAAGGTTAGGCTGTATTAGGCCAGAGTGGTAAGTGGTCTGTTGGTTCGAGCTCTTCGGTGGCTCCGAACCTGGTGGTGTAGGGGTGTCTCGGTACACCCCTACAGTTAAGAAAGTTATGGTTATGGGGCCTCTTTGGTAGGCCGTGTGTTATATATTATGTGTTATTTATATTGTTATATATTGTTTATGGCATGGGGTCATTGCCAGGGGTAATGCTGTACGGAAGGGGGTTGGGGTAAATTTATTATTATATGGCAATGACCCTAATTTGTTATCTTGTTTATAATTACATAAAAATAAAGCTGTGGACTTTATATATTTCCAACAAAGAATTTGGTGTCTGTGTTTTTTGGGGTGGGGTTTTTGGGAAATGCCACAAGCCGAATAACGACTGTGCGCATGTCATGATATAATCCACTGCTTCAAGTACAGAATCTATTTGGGTTCGGGCTTATATTTATAGGGAGACACAAAGTACAAGTTGGGGCAGTCTCATGACTGTTTTAAAAAAAAAAAAAAAATTTAGACTTAAATTGGGGGTCGTCTTATACACGGAATAAGAACCAAGCTAGTTGCATATGGCTGGAGCTCCTTCAAAAGTCTAATTATGAAACCAAATACTTACGGTACTTTGGGCACAAAACATGGCTACATGCTGACAGAACACTCAGCTGACTCTTGGGTTCACTACTGCCAGGTACCTCCAGTCATAGGCTGTGTTGTACACCGCTGCGACCTGCTGGCATACTTGAACCAGAGGAGGCACTTCTCCGTGAATTTGATTGTGTGAGCCGGTCTGGGATATCCTGTGCAACCGCATGCTTCCTCGCATCACTCTGGACCACGCCAAGACCTCACGGCTCCGGACTACAGATAGACGCCGCAGGGTGGGGCCTTGCCCAAACATCCCCTGAGGGTACCACGGACAGAGGGCATTGTTGCTGCCAACAGCAGGACGGCAGTTTAGGGAACCGGTGTCTGGACATGGACGGACCTTGAGGAGTGGCATACCGGAGTGTGAGGGGGCAAGGGGACCGGTGGGGGATCCTGATCAGCCACACTAGGCTTCAGTGCTATAGATGTACAAAATATGTATTTCTTAATTTTGGGCTAAAAAAAAAAAATAGGGGTTGTCTTATACATGGGGGTGTCTTATACACAGAAAAATATGGTAGTCAGATGTAACGTTTCTGTTCTCTAAGTACAATGGCTGAACAAACTGGTTAAGTAAGTGTTCTCACCTTTGCACATATCCTGATTGTTTCATTACTATGTGCTGTGTGATATCGCTTTTTTAGAACTGCATTGTAGCAATACCTTGCCTTTCATACAATAGCTTCTGATCAGGGCTTGTTTGTGCTCATTGTTCATTGCACCTCGCTGAAAGGATGCTCATTTGTAAGGCTTTCTGAGTAGGTTTTGGCACATCACCCCCCTCCCCCCCCCCCCAAAATGCAGATATGCAAAGCAAACAGTAATACCCAAATGAGTTTTCACAATAAACAAAAGGCTTTAATAAGAACCTGGAATTGTGCGGTCGTCCAGGATTTGATCTGGCATTAGACACAGGTGATTGTTTGTTCTTGCATTCTCTGCCTGCTGGCTGTGTTCACAACATTTTTACAAATGAAAAACAGAGTGGAAAACAATACCTGCGTTGAGTGACATTCTTATTTCAGGCACAGAAGCTTCTAACAAAGAGGCTCTGATACTGTCCAATACTGTGTACTTCCATGCCACAGCTATAAAAGGTCTCTCTATAGAGAATCACCACTGCGGGGTTTTCTGGTAACGAATAATAATAAAAGCATCTGACTGCACTTCTTCAAAGAAACGGCTTTATTTATCTCCTAGTAAACACCTAGCTTGCTGAGTAACCAGCACATTACCAAATAACCCGCTTGTGCTCATTTAATCATCTGACCTTCTGGGACCTAGAACGTACTGAGCACAATATAGTCATATCATTTTACTTGCTATACTTCTATAATTACATCGTCCTCGCTTAAGAAAATGACAGTGTGAAACAACATGCAATAACACAAACGTACACATCTAGCAAATACATGTACATTGTGTTTAACCCCTTAAGGACCAAACTTCTGGAATAAAATGGAATCGTGACCTGTCACACATGTCATGTGTCCTTAAGGGGTTAAAGGGACACTATAGTCACCAAAACAACATATACCTGTGAAAAGCAAATACATGCACATTCTATCATTCATGGTGCCCAAAAGATGTTCTAACAGTATTAGATTTATCATCTTGTGACAGACTGAACCTGATAAAAGGAGTATTAGTGCTAGGAACTGGAAGTAATCCAGAACATGACAGCTTGCTGGAAGAATACAGTGATTTATTCAAAAGGACTTGCTTATCTGCCAGGTGAGCACACCATCAGGATAGACAAAATGGCACCGCCACTAGTACACCTTGGCACAAAAGTGCCGTTTGCAATTCGAGACCAACTCGAAGCAGAGCTTGATAAGATGGACAGCACTGGGGTTATTGCTAAAATAGATTAACCGAGTCGGCTCATTTTTTAGTATTAGATAAGAATAATGGAATATGACGGATTTGCCTTGCTCCTTGCAAAATAAATAAAGCAATAAAAAGAGAATATTTTCAGTTCCTACTTTTGAAGAACTACGGAATTTGCTGGCGCTATATAAATAATAAAATAATAATAAAAATAATGTCACAATTTGCAAATGCCAAATTGGATGCTTCCTCAGGAATTTGGCAGTTGAAGTTAAAAGAATCCTGTTTGCAGTTGTGTACATTCCACTCACCATATGCCGGATACAGGTTTTCTAGATCACCATTTGGGTTTGCGCCTGAATTATATCTCAAATCACATGCTATATGACCACATTGAAGGTGTGGACGTGCATGGATGAAATTATCAAATGCAGAACTTTTAAGGAAGAACATGATTTTTGTCTAAGAAAAACGCTTGTCGATGAGCAAATCTAAAGCTAAACAAAGCAAAATGTCAATGTGAGGAGTAAGAGAAATGGAGGACGGGGTCAGATGTGACCCCATAAATATATCTCTAGTAGAACACAACTCGAAACCACAGAATAAAAAGGATGTGCTGTGATTTATAGATATGGTGTACTATATGGGAAGATATACACCCAACCTTTCAGAGAGAATAGCTTCTCTGAGATGGTTACCATGCATTCTGGCGGCGCAGTCACAATTTTCGGGTTACAAGAACATGAGAGCAACTGGCAACAAGTAGTGAATGCTTTCTGCTCCATCTATGATGTTGATCCCAGATATGCCAGGATATTGAAAGAACTTATCTGTATCACGTTTGCATGGGAAAATGTAATCAGTTTATTTCATGACAAATGGTACATGTTGAAACTGGTTACAAACCATTGATTGCATTATTCAGCATTTTAATGACTGTCCCTGAGAATTCAGAGAATGAAGCTAAAATTGTAATGCTATGCTGTGTAATGCAATACCCGAGGTGGTATTCACACCCGGAAAACTCACTGCAGCTATGCCGCAGCCTATTACACAGGCTGTAAAGACGCAAATCATCCGTCAAGTAACAGAAATAGAAGCTACATTGGATGAAAGTAAACTTGCTATTTTAATCAAATGGCTCGACATCAAACATAACTAAGGATCAATCATATTGGTACTGCATAGAATAGATTAACTGACTGATAGTAAATGTTTTCAAAATGCAGCAAGGTTGTGATTTCTCATAATCTCTGCAAGTTCATGCTAGAGAAAATACACAAAGGTCACATGGGTATTTAAAAATGCAGGAAATGTGCAAGATAAGCAATGTTCTGGCCAGAAATGAACCAAGACCTTTCAGATAGAGTGTCCTCCTGTCATACATGCAGCCACATCCAGTTCCAGAGGGACCTTATCAAAAGTTCGCTGTTGACTTGTGGACATGTAACAATGCAGAAATACAAGGGCAGCCTTAGAATTCTGTGCCTACAGCCAGCACCTGACATAACGTAACACCTTCCCTCTACTCGATTGGACAAGATCTTATTGGAGGACGCCCGCGTTCTAATTTACCCATGAAGAATGATCTGCTTGCAACAAGGAAAGATAAACAAGAGAAGCAGTTAAACAAGATTCAGAAAGAGGGACAAAAGGCATACTTTGACTCGAGCTAAACCTGTACCTAAATTGCTATTGGAGACAAGCTGAGACTCAAGGACAAGGTTAATATGTGATCACAGAATGGCTCTACAGAAGAAAAAATGCAACCAAGCGACATTCTAAAAGACCAGAGCAGGAGTGTTCTAACTCTGAATCAGATGGAGTGCTAAATAACAACATGGAGATTGAGCCAGAGACTGATCTGGATAGTTAGACGGTCTAAACATCAAAGAAAAAATCCTGAAAGACTGATAGTCATGTTAATATATCTGCGACCGACTAGTTAAAGGAACACTATCGATGTTTACATGGTGTATTCAATAAAAACATGGCAACATTTCATTCTTTGTGTGTTATTAGTTTAAGCAGACTGTGATTGCCTATTGTTGTGACTTAGATCACATTTTATGACCAATTTGTGCAGAAATCCATATCATTCCAAAGGGTTCACATACTTTTTCTTGCAACTGTAAATACACACGTAGAATTTAAATATATATGCATATTTATATATTTGAAGTCTACGTGTATATTTATATAATTATTTATGTAATTTTGTATATGGACATATGTATATTTCAAATTATTTTTATTTATTTATATATACATAGATATATATACAATTTCATTCTTAGTGTATTTTGATATAAATATATATATTTTAATATCAAAATACAGTTAGAATAAAATTTCATATAGATATATAATTTTTTTAATTTTTATTATTTTTATTTTTTTAATTTAATCTACTTATTATTTGTATTTTAGAATATATATATATATATACACAATATATATAGTTATTATATTATATATATATACGTGTGTAATTTAATTATAAGTGTATTTTTATATTAATATATGTACATATTAATATAAAATACACTTAGTATGACATTATATATATATGATATATAGACATATATAGATATAATAAATGTCTATATATCATATCTATATACATATATAATTTTTTTTTTTAATTAACATTAACTTTATTTTTTTTAAATGATTTTACACATGCAGGGAGACTGCCTGTCAGCACAGACAGTCCCCCTTCAGGCAGACACACCTATTGTGACCATGTGATTGCTGTGTTGAGCGATCACATGGCCACAGGGGTCCTAATCCGCCATGGGGAGACTGTCTGGGCTGCAGGCAGTCTCCTCACACCGGGAGCACCGCCAATCGCCGCCGGGGGAACAACGGCGATCGGGTAAGTACATAAGACCGTTAGGACGGTTCAGTACCGTCACCGGTCGGCAATGGAAAAATGCCGATGATGGTCCTGAACCGTCCTCGGTCATTAAGGGGTTAAAGTACATTTGAAGAGTGTATTATTATTTATAGATATGACTGATATATACCTCTTCCCAGGGCAATATATATCACCAGTATTTACACAAGGTGATACCTCACACATTACCCTGAGATATACTCCATGCACAGTACTTAGATTGCACTCACAGGACCTGCCCCAGGACTTCAAACAGCCTCTTGCACGCACCATGCAGGAGGGAAAAGATTGCGGATGAGGTTTCCAGTGGCAACAAAGACAACATTACATTGGCCGCGAGAGTGCTCTCTCACACTCTTGCTGATGCATCTGCATCCCGCCACGGCCAAATTCTTAAAGGCCGTATCACACACTCCGGTCCTGCACCATATTACAAACTGGAGTCTTTACTGGTGTCATTTGTTTACAACTAGCAAATACCTCGGTTGTGACAGTTGAACTCAGGCTGAGTATAGTGGGAACTGCATGTGATGTATTGGGGTGTCTGAGTGTAATGGGGACTGCATATTGGGCTGTCTGAGTGAAATGGTTAGTTTGCGTGTGATATATTTGTCTGTCTGAGTGTAATGGGGACTGCATGTGATGTATTGGGTTGTCTGTGTGTGATAGGAATAGTTTGTGTGTGGTGATATTGGACTGTGTACATGTGATGGAAACTGTGTGTTAGCACTGGGCTGGCTCTGTGTGATAAGAATGTGTGTGATCATTTTGTGCTGTCAATGTGTGATGGGAAAGCTTGTGTTTGTGCTGGTTTTGGGCTGGCTGTGTACTGTGCTACTGTGTTTATCTTAGTAATTACCTGATGAGTAGATAGAATAATGTAACTGGTTATCTGTGCTGCCTGTGACCTCCATGTCCCCCTCCCATCCATGTCTCTTTCCCCCTCATGTCCCCCACACTTATTCATGTCTCTCTCCTCCTTATATCCCCCTCCCATCCATATCTCTCTCTCCTCATGTCCCCCTCCTATCCATCTTACTCAAACACTTGAGTTGATGCCAAAGAGCTTGATTTTGGTCTCATCTGACCACAACATTTTCACCCAGTTCTCCTCTGAATCATTCAGATGTTCATTGACAGGGCCTGTACATGTGCTTTTTTTGAGCAGGGGCACCTTGTGGGCGCTGCAGGATTTCAGTCCTTCACGGCATAGTGTGTTCCAATTGTTTTGTAACTCGTGTAGTTCTGGGCTGATTCCTCACCGTGATCATTGAAACTCCACAAGGTGAGATCTTGCATGGAGCACTAGGCCGAGGGAGACTGACAGTTATTTTGTGTTTCTTTCATTTGCGAATAATCGCACCAACTGTTGTCACCTTCTCACCAAGCTGCTTGGCGATGGTCTTGTGACCCATTCCTGTCTTGTGTAGGTCTACAATCTTGTCCCTGACATCCTTGGACAGCTCTTTGGTCTTGGTCATGGTGGAGAGTTTGGAATCTGATTGATTGCTTCTGTGGACAGGTGTCTTTTATACAGGTAACGAGCTGAGATTAGGAGAACTCCTTTTAAGAGAGCCAGAAATCTTGCAGATTGATAGGGGATCAAATACTTATTTCACTCATTGACATGCAAATCAATTTATAATTTTTTGGACATGTGTTTTTCTGGATTTTTTTTTTATTGTTATTCTGTCTCTCACTGTTAAAATACACCTACCATTAAAGGGACACTCCAGTGCCAGAAGAGCAATCCGTTTTCCTGGCACTGCAGGCCCCTTCTCCCTCCCACCCCCCATCCCCGGTTGCTGAAGGGGTGAAAACCCGTTCAGTCTCTTACCTGAGACCCCCGCCGATGTCCCTCGGCGGTGGTTTCTGCTCGCCGCCGCTCCTCCTCTTCCTTACGTCAGCCAGTGGGCGAGACTGATTCCGCCCGCCGGCTGAGGAGAACTAATGCGCATGCGCGGCAATTTCCTATGAGGAATTGAGCGTTGCTGGAGGTCCTCACACAGCGTGAGGATGTCCAGCAACGCTATAGCACAGAAAACCTTTGCTATGGAGCAGGAAGTGACCTCTAGTGGCTGTCTAGTAGAAGCCTCTAGTAGACAGCCACTAGAGGTGGAGTTAACCCTGCAAGGTAATTATTTCAGTTTATAAAAAAACTGCAATAATTACACTTGCAGGGTTAAGGGTAGTGGGAGTTGGCAATGGGCAGAAGTGGTCTGGGTGCCTACAGTGTCCCATTAAAATTACAGACTGATCATTTCTTTGTCAGTGGGCAAACGTTCAATATCAGCAGGGGATCATATACCTTTTCCCTCACTGTATCCTGTCTTCCACATACATGTCCTTATCGGTATGCGATATTCCTCAAACTTGCTTATTGATCTCCTACTAGAAACACAATGTTATTGCACACGTCCGGAGCATATTCACCCACTACATGCAGGATAAATGCTTTTATGTTCTCACTTTTTCTGTCAGGTTTAATTTTAGAGAGTTAAAACTCAAATCTTTGTCTAAATCTCCTCCAATTTTCAGCAACATTCCCAATTAACTGAAGTTTTGGTGGTGGTTGAAGTTCCATCTCTCGATTATACATCTCTCGGCAAAATGTCTTACTGCAGAAATTAGCCTCAGCAGCCTCTCCGCACAACAAATTTTAGAGTTTTCTCTCCATTCAACCCAGCACTTCGGACACATTGTTATGTTTTCTGGTTCTTGAAATAATAAATGCGGCACCACATTCTCAATAACCTAAACCTCTGAGACCAGGACCGCAGTGAGCACAGTGTTCAGCTCCTTAAAGCAACATTGTCAAATAACATAGTACAACTACATATCATTTATCTTTTTAGTAATTGATCATATGTTCAATAAACCCAGAGCACTCACTGAGTCTGCCTATTAAGAAGAACCAGAATGCTCATGGAGACTATTATTAGAAATAAGTAAAGTCAAGCTGTGTAGCCGCGCAATACAGATTATTATCTCTGCGTGCCTCCTGCACCGAGTTAATACATAGTACTTCAAATTAGTATGTTTAAAGAGTTTGTCACGAAATTGCATATTTTAGGCCAAAAGTGACAAATTGGAAAAGATTCTTCCTCTCTGCTGGATCTAGCTTAGCTATTTTATCCCCTACAATGTGAGAACTGAAATTCAGTTACCAGATTTAAAGGCTTAATCCAACCACCATGACCACTTCAGTGATTTGACGGTGGTTAGTATGTGCAGTGCGTCTGCTTGAAACTCTACATATACAGAGATATTGTTAATCGTGTGCTAGGGGCTTGTTGCACCCCAGCGCATGTGACATTGTCAGCACAGCCGGGATACGCACATTGTGCGTCTGTCGTCCCATGAGAAGACTGTGATTGGATCGCAAGAAGTCCCAATGACATCGGAGGGAACGCAGAAGTCAGCTCCAGGAATTTTACCTGGCACTGGATTCCAGGTAAGTAAAATGTTTGAAATTTTAGGTTATACAGCAAACGGAGGGTGGGTCCAATACGGCATTTTACAGAGGAACGGGTTGGAGTAACCTTTTAACGTTAGGCTAATAGAATCCAGTGAAATTCCCAGTTTATTTAAAAACCCTAAGAGAACGTTACCTGCGCTCTGGCCTAAATCCCTATGTACATTTAAACAAAATGGAGGCTCTTTAGTTTTATTCCAATGGCCATTTGAATATATAAGCTTACCTGCCATGTCAAGGCAAGCCTCAATAGGTGAGTCCTACACTAGTCATTAGAATCTCCAGTAAGACAGGAAGGTGTATTTTATAAACCCTTTTCACATTTAACCCTTTATAGGGCTTCTACACATACAATAAACTTTGCTGTTATCAGACAAAGTGTAAACATCTCTAATGAGACATGAAGGGGTGTTTCATAAACCCCTACATACGTATTAACCCTAAATAGGGCTATAACACATACAAATTACCTTGCCGATATCAGCTAAAAGGCAAATTTATT